AAAATTAAACTCGTCCAAATAGTGCAGAAAAATATTCTAGAACGCATAAACATGAGAGAGCTTGCTCTCAGAACTTGAGAGTAGGCTCCATTAAGCATGGAGCCTGCTCTAGAGGGGTGGGAGCTGGCTCTACATCCCCTAGAGCTGGCTCTTCACTTGGGGGAGCTGGCTCTACATCCCCTAGAGCCGGCTCTTCACTTAGGGGAGCCGGCTCTCTCCCTCTCTAAGAGTCATGATCTTTCTCCGGCCTTCTGCTTCGTCCCCGACCACTTCCAATCCTTCTGTTCTTTATTAAAACTGAACCTAAGAGTCTAAAGTATGTCTAGTATCATCCTAGTCCATTATTTAAAATAGTTTGCATTAAAAAGAACCATAAATCAATTACCGATTTAATATGCTTAAAGATTAAACACTGAAACCCAAACTTGCAAGAACAATGTCAGATTAAATTCAACACATACAAACGAGCAATTTAACATATACTAAACATGCAAGATTCAGTTAATGTCTAATTAAAATCCTAGAGATCATCCAGGTATGCACAGAACACAGGCCATGGGGAAAGAGACAGAATAGAACTTGCCTGTGTGGTTTTGGAATTAAAACTTTGTCGCCGTCTTCCTAAGTTTTTCGATGTAGTCCACTTATTATCAACCTCCTACTACTCAACCTTCCCTTCTCCTAGGTCCGACCTTTAATCCATAACCGAAACCCTCACCAAAGTTGCTCTGTTTTCTCACAAGTCTCTGCTATGTCGCTCCGCCTTCACTGTGCCGTGAATAGGGTTCTAAAACTCTAGGCAGACGTAGGATGTATATATTTATAGGCAATTACTAAACCTAAATCCAATTAAAACCCTAGGCTGAAAACCTAATTAAATCCTAGTCGGCCAATACGTGAATAATAAAATAATAAAACCCTAATTTCACATTAAAAGTAATAATACTAATTTAATCCAAGTAACTCAATTAAATAAACAAATAAACCATTTAAACAATTACAATTCAATTAATCCACTTAAAAAAATAAAAATACAATTAACTAAACAATTAACAAACCATTCAATTAAATAAAACAATTAATCAATTAATTAAAATAAATAGGCAAATAAACAAATAAACAAATAAAAATGCAATAAAATAATTATTAAAAATGCCGAGACTATCCTTTTAAAATTAAGGATATTACAATACTAGTGTGCAGAAGGAAGTATTTAGTTCGTCCGTGGGTTTAGTCATTGTTTGGGCTTTTAGTTGGGTTCTTTGGCCAACATTAGTGGACACTTGTTTTTTTTTCTTTCTTTCCCAGTTCTGTAATGTTAGGGTTGAGGAAATGTCCTCATTTTTTGTATCTACTCTTTTAATTATGAGAAATCCTTAATTATCGAAAAAAAAATAATTGTAGTATTCTCCTGACCTCAATTGTATGCTTGTAGCCACAATCTTTGTATGTTCATTTGGTATTCCCAAATTTAATTGCATTGGTAGAATTGCATGGCTTAGAAGTGAATTCCATGCCCTAAGACTTTTTCTCTCTTATCTTATCTTGTTCAATCATACTTCATTTACTCGCATTTTAGATATTTTTAATTTTAGTAGTCAATTTAGGATCATAATCAAACAACAGTCTTTATCGCTTCATTTGATCATTAGTTTGTTATTGAATCAAACCTTTGAATCTTTGTGTTCGACCCCCTACTCTCTATACCATATAATGGTAGTGGTTTTTATAAATTTAAAATTGATATTTTCCAAGCGTCCATGTATCCACAATTCTATAAGCATTGATAAGCGATGTATCAATGCATAAGCTGCATGATCCAGAATTATGGCTTTCCTGCGAAAGAAGAAAAGAGGTGATCGAGGCAGGCAACAACGCGGTGCCGGCCGAGTACTTTTTGACGACGGTCAAATGATTTATTGTAATACCACTGATTTTAAAAGGATAGTCTCGATATTTTTTTAAAAATTATTTTAATTGCATTTAATTATTTAGTTGATTTCTTGGCTAATTGTTTACTTGTTTAATTGATTTAATTATTTGTTTAAATGTGTTAATTGATTTATTTGTTTAAATGAAATTGTGTGTGATGATGTGTATTTGTTTAGGAATTTAATTATTTTATTTTTATTTTATTTTTATATTTTTAAGGAATTGGATATGGATTGTGGTAATGGACCAACCAATTGGGCTCCATGGACTACTTGGATAAGGGATTTGATGGGTATGGATAATTATCCATGGACGGTTGGATATGTATATATAATAAATAAATATATATATATAAAATATATATATATATATATATAAGGAAAGTTTTTTAGTAATAATCTGATGTGTATATTTATATGTTATATATAAAAAGGATTATACATAGATTGTACGTAAAATATATTTTAATTACCTTTTTAGTGTTTAATTTGGATTGGAAAGAGGATTAGGTTATTTTATTTAGCCTATAAAGATATAGCTATAGGTTAGTAAAAGGGGTTAGAAAATAAATCACGAAATATATTTTAGAGAGATAAAAAAGGAAGAGAAAGAGGAAGAAGGAGGTTAGGGTTTTTATCAAATCCCTAAAGGCAAGTTTTAATTCTTCTCTTCTCCTTTGATTCATACCCTATGCATGTTAAATTAATTCCAGGTTCTTTGTATAAATTAATTGAATTTAATTACATGAATTAATTTAGAAATTAAAGTTCGTGTGTTTTAATAATGGGTTCATGATGAATTTTTATATTTTAATAACTTAAGTTTTAATGTGTTTTGTGTTTTAATAATTGTGTTTAATTATTATTATTTTTAAGTCAGAATTGTTTGGTGGCTTGCATATTATTATATATTGTTTTAAGCATACTTTTACATGTTACATTTTGTTATATAAGTTATATGAAGTTATGATTTATTTTGCTTACACGCCGAACGAGGAAAAAGTAAAACAACAAACTAATGGTACGAATCATTAGTATCAGTTTTGTTAGATTGAATTTCAATCTCAATATTTTTTTTAAAGCCTACACGCCACACGAGGGATAAAAAAATAAAGCAATGCAAATTGTCTATATATGGTTACGGTTCTATATTGTTTGGACAATATTTTTTTTTTTTCATTAAATATTTTTTTAACAGTAATCTATTCAAGGTTGGAATGTTAAATTAATATTTATTATTTTTGATTAATGAATTCGTATTAAATATTTATTTATTTAATAGATTCATTAAGAATTAGAGTGCATGATTTAAGCTTACATGCTAAGTATGGAGTTTAATTGTAAAAATGATAAATTAATTAAATATGGTTGGATTAAATTATTTTAATTAATTGTTTAGATTTAAATTAATTTAATCAAAACATGGAGATGAACAATTTAGTTGAGATGGATGTTAATTTCTTGTGATATAAATTAAATGCATGCCACTTAGAATTGATATTTTTACTCAAGTAAATGTAAAGGATGTGTATATGATTTATATCAGTTTATTTGGATTATTAGATATAAATATTATTACATTATCCTTGAATTGGAAACTTTTATTTGATTATGATATGGATTAATGCACCATTATGGGATGAGAGTATATTAGGAATGGATTAACTTAAGAGTTAAGTCCTACCTATTTTTAATAAGGGAACGGATTAACCATAGTGTTAAGTCCTACTTATTCGTGTCAGGTCAACGGAGTAGTTGGATGACATATTATTAAAATAATAATTGGATAGTTTATTTTTGATGGTTGGATATGACGGATTTTAAATATATAGTTATACGCCATGATATGAGCTTGAGTCTCAGGATCAGTGGTTAGGGTGCGTATATTGCCAGGGCTGTGTAGCTAGATATAGTATAGTTGTGTATCCTGGTAGGTCTATGTACTCATACCCACTATATGTGCGTTTTGCATGTTGCCTATTATTCAGGTTGAGATAACTCTATAGTCTAGTGAGGTTCCTTTAGTGTGTATATATCTATTTATGGACTATTTAGTTATTGTTGAATTAATTAGGATATGTACGTGTATCGGGTCTCTTTTTGGGATATAGTAGATTAGAACTTGTATGTGGGCCTGACCCACTATTATTTTTCAGGTGTTTGTTAGTTCCAGTCTTAGAGATTGTTCGTGCCAAGTAGAGACAGTCATTCACTCTTCTGACCCTACATAGGACTATTCTTCATGGTTTAATTATTAGTTTTATTTCAGTTCAGTTATTTCAGTTAGGATATTATTAGAGGTCCACAATATGGATTCCCGGGTTGTAGTTTAATTAATTACTAGTATCCGAGGATTGGAGGATTTTATTATTTAATTTTTAATTATTATTTATTTGAGAATCTTAAAATATGGATTTATTATTTAGTTTCCTTCAGTTTATTATTTATTTAATTATTTATTATTCTTTTTGTATTCAAATGCTTGTTTAAATATTAATTGTTTGATATCCCTTGTATTCTGTACTTGGACTTAATCACCAGTGGCTCTAAAATCTAGAAGTATCACATTTATAATATATCAAATAAAGATTTTGTAAGTCATTTTTGACGTACCATTTTAAGTTGACCGACTAATTCTTTTATAAAAAAAAATTGCAATAGTATGGATTCATCTCTATTGTCTAGCATAAATTCGATAAGATTGTTCAATTACAATCTGAACGTCAGTGATTCGAATAAAAAAAACTCGAAGTGTACTGGACTAGTCGATTTAGTCTTCATCACATTATTCCATTAATCGGAGGATTTGACACAATGAGCTTAAAATGAAGAAGAAAAAAAAGATTAATTTTAAGACCCAAGTCCACATAATTTTGTCTCTCTCAAAGTTAGTGTCTCACTTATTTTCAAGTCACCACCTGAACCAGGACCTTCCACGTTTCAAGGAGTGTTGCAAACTGTCAATTGCCAAGTTTAAGTCAGTCCCAAACTTATCCACATCTCTAAGCCCAATATTAAATGCAAACGAGTTCTCCCTCGCTCACATTCAGAACCCATTCATGTATTTGGTCTTCCTTTTTTGCCAGATGAGCTTGCGTACAAAAAGAATGCATGGGCCAAGTGTGTATAATAGATGAGAAACAATAACACCATCAAACAGGTTGGTCTTGCCAAGTAGTACCGGTCCGTCGCCACCAACAGACACGTATCAGCAATGGGAATTGTAATCTTGATCAATAACAACAGTAACCCAATTCACACAGATCATATATATATATATATATATATATATATATATATAAGCCTACATAGCCATCCAAGGTCCCAAGCTCATCACAATCCATCCCTTGAATACCAAAAATATATGTTGAAACCAGTTGTGGGACGTTTAGGATAGAGAAAGCAGATGGGTCGAAAACCAGAAGCAAGTTCAAGAAAAGGGTGCATGAGAGGGAAAGGGGGACCTGAGAACGCTTCCTGCACCTACAAAGGTGTCCGGCAGCGGACTTGGGGCAAATGGGTGGCCGAGATTCGCGAGCCTAACCGCGGGGCCAGGCTCTGGTTAGGCACTTTCGACACCTGCCACGAAGCTGCCGTGGCTTATGATGCGGCTGCACATAAGCTCTACGGCTCCGATGCCAAGCTCAACCTGCCGGAGCTTTTGGCGAAGCCGAATCGGTTGTCTGATTCTCAGACAAACACCCACATGGAAAATCACATGCAGAGTCAATATATGTCTTCTGGAGTTACTGATGAGTCTGTGTTTTGTGACAGCAAGTCCTCTGTTGGGGGTGGTGGTGTTGATGGTGAGTCCCACAAGGAGGAGAGAGTTGGACTGAGTGAAGTGGGAGGGGAGGGGATTTGGGGGAATCTGAATAACTTGCCGGAGTTTGATGACTCCTCTATATGGGCGGAGGTGACGGCCACGATGGACTTCGATCAGGCAGCGGCAGACCCCGGGATTTTCCCTGCCATTTTTGAGGTTGGGAATGGTTCGGAGACCATGCAGTGTCCATGGGGTGCTTAAAGCTTCTTCTCAGGAGTTGATATATATATATATATATATATGTATGTATGTATGTATGTATGATGTGATACATATACATATACTAGTACAAAGAACGAAAAATAGGAATAACAATAGTAATATGTTGGGGCCACAATTGGTCGTCTTTTTTTAAAGGACTGTGATATATAGGGTGGCCCTTGTATCAATCCAAGCATATATATCCAAGCATATATAGGTATTAACTTTCTCTGCTTGTAAAGTTGTATGAGTTATATATGCAAATATGAGATGTTTTAGATGCTTGCACTTGAGTCTTACCTTAAATTTCCAATATCATTGGAACTCCTTCCTCTAGGAGTGCAGTGTTATGCATGTTTGAAGTCCATAATAATTTTCCGAGTAGAGGAGTCGAAATAATTGACTGTAAAGATTTGTAGGCCCAACAAAATTAGGCCAAGAATGTTTGCCCATCCAAATTAACATAAGCCTTAAATTGGAATAGGGTAAATTACTCTCTCCCCAAATTAATTTTTTTGCAAAATTACTCTCCTCACTTCTACTAAACTAATGATTTTTTACTTGAACTAAGAATTGTATGCATTTACCCAAATGTCCTTAACTTATCACTAATTAATTACCCTAAAATACTCCCAAATATAATATTTAATAAAAAATTAAAATGACACATGTATCCCTTTCCACAATTAACCCTCTCCACCACGGCTCCAACTCACTCTCTCACCGCTTATCTCCACCACCATTTTTTTCTCTCTCTCACTCTCATCTAACTCCCTCCACCAGCGCGCGCACACACACCCCCTACACATGAATGAAAATACACACACGCCCTTGCACTATTAACGTGTTTCGTCGGTGAAATTTTGGCCATTGTTGAAGCAAAGAACTAGAGTTGGAGACCTATTTCGAGTTGTAAAAGAAATAGAGTTATGATTGAGAAGAAGAAGGCGATTGTGAAATTAGGGTTAAATCAAACCCACTAATTTGTTGAATCAAACCTAAATGCCATGATATATATTTATATATATATGTTTTATAATAAACCCACTAATGTATATGCCGTGATATATATAAAATGGTTCCAGCTCAATCAAATCCATTGATCTGTACTGACGAGTGTGTATGTGTGTGTGTGATGGCATTGGCGGTGGGGCGAGAGAGAGAGAGAAGCAAAGGCCTTCATATTGGTTTCGGTTATGTGGAGAGAGGGGTGGGGCCAGGGCTGGTGATAATAAAGGGATGACGATGACACCACCTTGAGAGAAAAAGAAAAAGGGTAAAGGCAAATGCTACCGGAGGTAAGTGTTGGCCGTGGGCGGTTACTACATAATATTTAATAAATAAATATTCCTTATAAGAGTGATTTTTTCATGTAAAATTTTAATCAATTTTATAAGGAATATTAACGAACAAGGTAAGATGTTAAATTTCATATCATGGTTTAAATAAATATTTCATAAATAACAATGGGGAAAGCTAATCAACCGCTTTAACAAAATCGTCTATCTCTGTGCTAGTGCCAAAAATCCATGGAACATATATCTTTGATCTACAATCCTTTATCGAAATGATTGGAGTACTAGATCACAAAAGAACTTACATTTCTTTGGCAGCTAAAGCACAAACAGATCGCTAAAGAACCCTATCGTGTTGATCTACCAACAAATCATTGTAGCGACACCAAAATACGATTAACCCTACTTCCCTCCGATAACTAAAGCATCGATTCACCTCCCCTTTTGCTGTCGTCAGAGTCTCTTAATCAGATAGCTTTGTCAAATTCCGACTAGTCTTTTTCGATCGAAAGACCTCTCTGACAAAGTGGACAAGCTAGAACCATGATTTTTGTTTTCGGCGAAGAACTCGATGATAGTGTCAGTGTTGGTAGCACATATGTCGTTAGTAGCAATGTTGGCAGTGGGGCTCATATTTTGACATTGAAAATGCAGATTGGAAAAAATAAAAGAAAAAAAAGAAAGGTAAAATACATTGACATCCTTTGAGATTTGGTCTAATTGCCTGAGGTAGTCATATTTGTCATCATTAAAGCCCCTTAAGTTTGGTCTAATTACACAAATCAATCATATTATGATCGAGAAGAAGAAAGCTATTGTGAAATTAGGGTTGAATCAACCCCAATAATTTGTTGAATCAAACCAAATGCCATGATACATATATATGCATGTTATATAATCAAACCCGCTGTTATATATGCCATGATATATAAAAAATGGTTTTAGCTTAATCAAATCCACTGATTTGTACTAACATATAATAGAACACTCCACCACATGGTATTATATTGTCCGCTTTGGGCTTAAGATTGTACAGTTTTGTCATTGAATTTTACCCCAAAAGGCCTTATACCATTTGAAGACAACACTAATACATATAAACACTTCACCTTCACGTTACTTATGTGTGATCGTGCACCCGTAGCTTGTCAGCACACTTGCCTACAAAATTGCCACATGACACGTGTATGTGTGTGTGTTTACTAGCACTAATGGTGGTGGAGAGAGAGAGAGGGGGAGGGAGAGGCCAAATGCCCCCATTTGGTGTTGGTTATGTGGAGGGATGACGATGACACTGCCTTGAGAGAAAAAAAGAAGGGAAAAAGGCAAATGGGGGCAGTGGGTGGTTACTATATACATATTCTGTAAATAAATATTACTTAATGAAGAGTGATTTTTTCCATATAAACTTTTAATCAACTTTAGAAGTAATATTAACAAGGTAAGATGATTAAATTTTATACCATAGTTTAAATAAATATTTCACAAATAATAAGAGGGGAAACCTAATCTCCCCACCTTTAAGGGAGGTTAAGATTTGTCTCCATATTTATTAGACAAAATACTTAAAATTAAAATTTTTAAATATCATCAATTTAATGATATTGGTATAATTTGATAAAACACATCTTCACACCAATCCATCGCTTTAACAAAACTATCTCTTTATCTTTATTTATGTGCCAATACCGGAATCCATGAAACATATAGTTTTGGTCACTAATCCTCTATTAGAATGTCTTTCTCTTTATATATCTTATATCGATCAGAGTACTAAATCATAAAATAACATACCTTCCTCCGGCAGTAAAAGCACAAACAGATCACTAAACACCCCTATCATGTTGATTTGCTAATAGATCATCGCACCGACACCAAATACGACCAATCTATACCTCCCTCAAATAACTAAACCATCAATTCACCTTTTTCTTTGCTATCATTAGTCTCTTTTGTGTTTCAAAATTAGATCTAGCTTCATTAAATTTTGACTGGTCTTTTCAAATCAAAAGAACTATTTGATAAAATGGATGAGTTAGAACCATGATTCTTGTTTTCGACGAAGTCCCTGGTGATATTATCAAAGAAAGTGGTGCACAAGGTGCAGATTAAGAAAAAAAGAGAGAGGGGTAAAATACACTAACATCCCGTGAGGTTGGGTCTAATTACACAAGACATGTATATTTGCCATTTATTACACCATGTACCCTTGAGGTTTGGTCCAATTACACAAGGCAACCATGTTATGATCGAGAAGAAGAAGGCGATTGTGAAATTCGGGTTGAATCAAACCCATAATTTGTTAAATCAAAACCACTAATTTGTTGAATCAAACCAAATGCTGTGGTATATATGTGTGTTATATAATCAAACCCATTGATATATATGTCGTGATAATAGTTTCATCTCAATCAAATCCACTTATTTGTACTAACATGTGTGTATATGTGTGTTTAATGGCACTGCAGTGGTGGTAAGAGAGAGAAAAACAAAGGCCCTCATATTAGTGTTGGTTGTGTGGAAAAAGAGGTGGGGACATGGGCGACGATAACGGAAGGATGACGACGACACCACTTTGAGAGAGAAAGAGAGAGATATAATGGGTAGAGAAAATACTGGTGGAGGCAAGTGGAGGTGGTGGGCAGTTACTAAATATGTATTATGCAAATAAATATTACTTCATTAAGAGTGATTATTTTCATATAAAATTTTAATCAATTTTAGAAGGAATATCAACAAGGTAAGATGATTAATTTTCATATTGTGGTTTAAATAAATATTGTATAAAAAGAAATGATAAACATCATGGATGATTTTCATGATATAGTATCATGAATGATATGGCATGCGAGTTGGCAGCCAAGTGCAATTTAAAAGCAAACTTTTATGAGATAAACCCTAAAACAAAGGTGAGAAACAATATAAGCTTGCAAAGATACAAAGATTAATATTACAGTAATGTATTGTTGTAAATATGTAAATTAAATTAGAATTATATTTGCAGTATAGTGATCAAGATCATGTTGTGTAAGTATATACAAGGGCGAATCTAGTAATTGTTAATGGGGTGGGCTAATAGTAGTAATAATAGTATATATATATATTTGTTTGTATTGGGCTAAAATTAGGTATAGTTAAAAAAAAAAAAAACAAAATTTGTTTTTGGGTGGGCCCTGGATCTGCCAGTGTATATATGTATGTGCGCGTGTGTGTTTTTGTATATATATTTATGTATATATATACACACACACATATAAATATATATATTAGAATTTTGGTTAATTAGGACATATGCTTTGTTGTAGAGAATCGGTATATTCATGGAATTCAATTCATGTGCTTAGGAAAATTACATGGAACAAGTTTTTTATGTCGTTTGATAATTTGAGAGAGAGAGAGAGAGAGAGAGAGGGTAAGTCAGTTAATATATGCACTTTTGATTGATTAACACAACTTAATAAATATATATACACTTTTGATTGATCAACAACTTCGATAATAGTAATGTATTGTTGTAAATATGTAATTTAAATTAGGATTATATTTACAGTATAGTGATCGAGATCATTGGTGGGTGTTGTCGCGTTACACCCAAAGTTTGCAAAGAGATGACTAAGATGAGTGTGGCCAAGTTTTACATTTATAATTCGCCACTACTACCTTTCACTAAAAATATAGTTAGGGCGAGTAGGGATCGTCCCAAGGGATTGGTGGGTCGTATTAAGTTATGGAATCGAGATTAGGGTTAGTAGGTCGAGTAATCAAAAGATTGGTTGGTGATTGAATTATACTAAGATGCAATTTAAACTAAAGTAAATAATTAAATGCAGTAGAGAAAAAAATAAAAGAGAGAGATCATGGGGTTTAGAGGTCACTACTAAGCATAGCTTTTCTACACCCTTAATGAATGATTAATGAGGGGGAAAACATGTATTGCAATAATAGTGTGTGTGTGTGGTTGTTTCAACAAGTATGGATGACTAATTAAGTATA